AGAAAAGCGGTCTGAGGCTGGCTCCCTCAAACCTGCCCTCGCCCTGCCTGCTCTGGAGCTTTTTCACCGGGCAGAGATGTCACTCACCGCGTTTCTCCGCTCCAACAGGGACACACAAAGGCTTCCCCAGGTGCCAGAAGGGCAGCCCAGGCCAGCCCTCCCTGCTCCCTGCCTGCACATCCCTTCTGCTTTCTGAAGACCTCTAATCTCCACCCAAAAATATCTCGTTGCCCCAAACTTTCCATCCTGAGCTCCGTCTCGTACCTGAGGGCAAGAAGGAGCACAAGGGAGAGCAGTCACTGGCTGACTCTTTTTTTCTCCATTGGATCATCCGTCTTCCTTACGGTATTTTCCTAATGAGCCTCGGAGGCTGCTGAGAAAAGCGGTCTGAGGCTGGCTCCCTCAAACCTGCCCTCGCCCTGCCTGCTCTGGAGCTTTTTCACCGGGCAGAGATGTCACTCACCGCGTTTCTCCGCTCCAACAGGGACACACAAAGGCTTCCCCAGGTGCCAGAAGGGCAGCCCAGGCCAGCCCTCCCTGCTCCTTGCCTGCACATCCCTTCTGCTTTCTGAAGACCTCTAATCTCCACCCAAAAATATCTCGTTGCCCCAAACTTTCCATCCTGGAACTTCCAGGATTAAGGCAGCTCTGGAGGCAGTGGACGACAGAGCTTTTCTGCAAAGCCTCCAGCCCATCCTGACCCACAGAGCCCAGGAGACCCCTCTGGGAGCTCCTTCTCCCCAGCTCTGCGGGCAGGAGCACGGTGACAGGGGGGACACAGCCGTGTGCTGGGGGGTACTCACTTCACTCGGAAGTCGTCGGCTGTCATCCTGCTGTTGTCGATGTTCAGAATGATCTTGTTGTTGTCTATGGTTGCACAGACGATCTGGAAAAAGAACATTCACTCCTGAGGTCTCTTCCCTGTATCCTCGGACTCAAACGTACCCTCTGCCCGGGGCTGCCAAACCCAGCCTTTTTCTCTCTCTATATATATATTTTTAATATTAGCCAGCAGGCGTGGGCCAGCAGGGGTGCAGCAGTCACGGGGGTTCAGGGAAGCGCAGTGAAGGCATTAAAAGGCTAAAAACACGTGGATCAGATGCAGACAGTCGGGGAGGTGTAATTAGTGGTGTCCAGCAGCAACCACAATCTACCCAACCTTTTACATCTAAATCTTACTTTCACAGATAAGAGATTTAAAAGCTTTGTTTCCAGACTTAATTATAAACCCGTCTCATTCCATCTGTTTCCTGGATTCTTTTCACTTTACTCTCCTTTGTGCATTAACATCCCAGGATTTTTGCCAAACACATTTTACAAACAAATGTTTTTCATTTTAAATTGCATACTCAAAATGTGCTATGGCAATGCTCTCTTTGTTCTGATTTTTAATGAGATGCCCTATATTTCCCAGTTCTGTATGAAAGAGTAAACTTGTAAAAGAAAAAAAAAAAAAGAAAAAGACTAGTGACAGAGTAAAATAGAAAAATAGATTCAGGCAAATTAATGTGATCCATTATTTATTTCTCTTTTAGTTGCCTTCTCGGCATATATCTATTTAAACACCTTGGCACAAACCTAATTCAGAACGACCACTGACTGAGCCAGTCCAGATGTATTCCATAAACAGAACATTTTCCCCTTCAAATATACCCGATGAATAAAAGGGATGGAAACTCTCCAAAGACTCAAGGTTTTACCTTGGAGCTCTCGGGCTTTCTGCAGGCAGGTCTCCTAATGGCTGTTTACGGAAAGCACCTGACACCAATGAAATTTCTCCTGGAAACTGCATTAAGTTGTGAACCAGCACCGTGGGAGAAGCTTACAAGGGGGAAAGCAGCTGGGAAAGGATGTTACCTGGTTCTGAAGATCTTCTATTTCTTTGTAATAGCAGCTGTAGTCCCGGGGCTCACAGAAGGGGCCCTGCTTGGCGTACCACTCCCTGATCCTGCACTCCAGGTCAGCGTTTTCTTGTTCCAGGCACCTCACCTTGTCCAGGTAAGAAGCCAGGCGGTCGTTAAGGTTCTGCATGGTGACCTTTTCGTCACCAGAAAGAAGGATGCCATCACCAGCAAAACCACCTCCAACTACCCCTCCACCAAGACCAATACCAAGGCCACCTCCGATGCCACCGCCAAAGCGAGCACTGCCACCGCTGAATCCGATGCCTGAACATCCTCCGAGGACAGCGGCTCCTAAGCCACCTCCATAGTTTCCACCAACCAAACTGCCAGTGCTCAGTCCTCCTCCATAATTCACGCCACCGCAGTAGCTCCTACCAGAAAACCCCCGGCTCCCACCTATCCCACACGTGGTGTATCTTCCAGAGGAGACGGAGGAGATGCGCGCTCCTCCACCACCACCACCGCCACCAATCACACAGCTGCCACCGCTGGTCCTGCCCCTGAGAGAGCCAGTTGTCTGCTTAATACTACAACTCATTGTGAGGACAGCTGCAGATCCAACCCAAAGCCCAAAGCAAGATGCACAGCTTGATACGGAATCAGACTGCGGGGTGGCTGCTGCCGCAGATCTCTATTTATACCTTCCAAAGGGGGTGTCACCTACAGGGTGTTTCTTCTTCCCACGGGGCTGGCTAGTCTGGCTGTTTATGCCAAGAATAAATAGCCTATAGGCAGTTTCCCTCTAGAAATCCCAGTTCACAAGGAAGATACTTTACATGTCAGCAGCTTATTCCAAAAAGTAAAATAATGTTTTATGAGTCATCAGCTTTTTGTATGATGCAAACTTTACAACAAGTCGAGAAAAAAAATTTGCCCTAGATTATGTACAAAGAAGAAACATTGGTATTTATAACATCAAAGTGCCTTTTATCTTTTATTAATTTGTATTTATTTTATTCTTAGTCAAATAAACATTTTTGTATCACATGCTATGGTAGAGTCCGCGGAACAAAAATGGGAAATTAATATAGATTCTCACTTCTGAAAAGAGTGAATAATAGTGACTGTGGTGGTGAAAAGGCTGGGGATGTCGTGGTGTCAGGGTCTGTCACCCAGCAGATTGACAGACCATTGGGCTAATACATGCTTTACTGTGAGATTTCTTACATCCCTGAGGTCAGTCATAGAGTCATAGAATCATTTAGGTTGGAAGAGACCCTTGGGGTCATCGAGTCCAACCATCTCCCCTACTCTACAAAGTCCTCCCCTACACCATGTCCCTCAGTACCGCATCTAAACGGCCCTTAAACACATCCAGTCCCCTGTGGTTTTAGTTCCCCGTTTGTGGTTTATCCTTGGTCACACAAACACGAGACGACAACGCGCTCGGTCTGTGGAGATGGGGCAGCTGAACGTCCCCGCGTACCCCCGTGTCTCCCTGTTACACAGGCTGGCTGGAAGCTGGAGTGCAGCAAGTACCTCCTTCAAGTTATTTTTCAATTACTCTAATTGCTGTCCACGCTGCCTCAATTTGTGGTGATCGCAGATAAAGGCAGAGCTGACAGGAGAGGGAGTATCCACAGGCCATACATCCCGTTCCCCGATGGACTGAGGTGAAGTCCTGCAGGTCTTTGCCGTTACCGAGATTGCGCTGAGCACAAAATAAGAAGGAGAAAAGCTTTCCTCCTTTCTGAGCCGAGTTTGTCAGAGCAGCAGCAGGCTCTGGCTCGGCCTCGCTGGTCGTGGGAGCACCATCTCCAAAGCCAGACCAGCAGCAGCCAGAGGAGCGCTGGGAGAACTGGCTCCACCAGTGCAGGTCCCTTTCTCCGGCAGACGGCTGTCATGGGAGGATATCCTGCTCTCCAGGGGACGGAGGCTTCTCTTCCCTACAGGGTGGAATTCCCAACCAGCTCTTACTCACAACTGACCTTTGACTCAAGTGTGTCCGTATTTACAGGAGTGGTTGTGATAAATCCTCCTTGGCGGTGAGTGTGGCACCCCGAGAGGGAGCCCTGAGAGCCGCCGTCCCCTGGGGCAGAGGAAACCCACGCTCGGGCCTCGGCCACCTCTTACGTTGTAGTGGGAGGGTGGACCATGTGTGCAGTGAGGTGGCTTCTGTCACCACGGCCAGAGAGTGTCCCCAAGCATATATAGGTGTGCTCGTCTTCTCACCAGCATGGGTTAGGACTCTCCGCTCTCCAGCGAGATAATTTATTTCTTTACTTAGATCAGAAGTGATAAAAAGACGCCTACCCGAGGCTGGCAGCATCTGAATATTCATTATTTGGATGGTTCAGAGAAAGAACTTGCTCAAGGACAGAGCTGGAGTCTGTCAGAACTCAGATTCCTAGCCGGGACTGCCTTGCCTGAAATACAAGTCCATCCTCCCCCCCAGAAACACATCCCCGCGCTCCCCACACAGCCTGGACGCACTGTAGAGAAAGTCATGAGCAAAAAGGAGCGTAGGGAGTGAATCTGCCTTTCATCCGTCGTTTTGAGGAATATAATTGAAGACAGGGTGTGGCTGTAAGAGCCCACAGAAATTAATATAATGTCTGGATTGCTTGGAGCTTTGCTTCTGCTGTGTGGGGTTTCAGAAGGTGCCTAATGGAGACCTGGAGAGAGGGTTGAGGCTGCCTTCCCTTTCCCCTTCCCTTTCCTTTTCCCTTTCCCTTTCCCTTTCCCTTTCCCTTTCCCTTTCCCTTTCCCTTTCCTTTTCCCCCTTTTCTCTTTGCCCTTCTGGTGGGAAGGGGAAGAACTGCACAAGTGACTGTGGTCCTGGCCACTGGCAGGGGTTAAACTATGGAATAACGTTTCAGTGAAGGAGCTGACAAACAGACCAGAACTGCTTGGTGCATTGTCTCAATCTGGTTTCATTTTTCGCAAAAAAGTGGCAGAATATCGCAGTGACCTTTCTGCTCGTGGCAGTGGCTGGCACAGGGCAGGGAAGCAGATCGTCACCATCAATTAGGAGGCAGCTCAAATAGGACAGTGAGGGAGCTGTGCAGGGCCTCCACCTATTGCTCACCTTGCTTTTACGTTAAAATACCCCGGGCACAGATATTTTATTGTATCATCGGGTGCGTCCCAAGCTACTTACATGAGGTCCTGCTGGCCGCCCTCCAGCAGGCAGCGGTACGTGTGGATCTCCTGCTCCAGGCGGCATTTGACGTCCAGCAGGATCTTGTACTCCTGGTTCTGGCACTCCATCTCCGCCCGCAGGTCGCCCAGCTGCTGCTCCACGCAGGTGATCTGCGTCTGCAGCTCAGCAAGGTGGTTGTTGTAGCGACACTCTGTCTCGGCCAGCGAGGACTCCAGGTTGTCCCTCTGAGGAGTGAGACGTGGCACGACACCGATACACAGGCATGAAAAACACGGCGTTTAAGCTGTGAATCCTCCCACCCGAGCACAACCGTGAGCTTTGCCGCAGCTCCCACCCACCTGGCTGAGCTGAGCCTGGAGATCGATCTCCAGGGCTTGCAATTGGCGTCTCAGTTCCGTGACTTGATTGTTGCACGTCTCTACCTCCTGACCGCTCGTAATAACTTCCCGATTCACCTCCTCAATCTGAAAAATCCGGGATAAAGATGTTCAGGGAGTGTTTCATGTAGGTCAGGTTAAGGAAAAGGCAGAGAAGCTCCCAAAAACCGTGAAATGAGAAAGGTTGGGGTGACCTCTCTCATGCTAATGGAGTGTAAACCGTGCTCCTCATTCCTCTTGCTCTTCCAATAGTCCAGTTCCTCTCACTGTCACTGCTGTGTAAAGAGCTCCTGCCTCAAGTCTCACTGACACGCCACAATTCCCATCACCCCATGAAAGGACACGGAGGGGCAGTGTCCCCCTTTAAACTTGGTCAGTTTAAAGCAATGCTAAATGCTGGTTGTGTGGGTTTGATGTGTAATAAGTCACTGAGGAACTGTGGTGTCAGCGAGGGAAGTTGGAACCTCATGAATTCACCCACCTTGCACTCGTACCAATCCTCAACTTCTTTGCGGTTGCGTTCAATCAGCGTTTCATACTGGCACCTCATCTCCTCCAGGATCTTCCTCAGGTCTGGGCCAGGGCAGGCATTGACCTCCACGCTCACATCTCCAGTCGATTGCTTCCTCAGGCAGTTCATTTCCTGAAACACCACCCAGATCATGTCATTTTTAAAAAAAGAAGGGAAAAAACCGAGGGAGCTAAGTTCCCTGGTAGGGAGGAGCAGAGCCCCCAGCAGAGCCCTTCTCTGCCAGGTTCACAGCCCCGAGTTCACCCGAACTGTCTCACCAACCACTCGCCAGCACCCCAGAGGTGGGGACCATGGAAGGTGATGGATCCTGCATGAACTAAGACTTTTGAGATGAGAGGGGGAGTAGAGGACCCTACCTCCTCGTGATTCTTCTTCAGGCAGCAGAGCTCCTCCCGCAGCGACTCCAGCTGAGCCTCCAGGTCAGACCTGCAGAGCGTCAGCTGGTCCAGGACTTGGCGTAAGCCATTGATGTCAGCCTCCACGCTCTGGCGCAGGGCCAGCTCCGTCTCGTACCTGAGGGCAAGAAGGAGCACAAGGGAGAGCAGTCACTGGCTGACTCTTTTTTTCTCCATTGGATCATCCGTCTTCCTTACGGTATTTTCCTAATGAGCCTCGGAGGCTGCTGAGAAAAGCGGTCTGAGGCTGGCTCCCTCAAACCTGCCCTCGCCCTGCCTGCTCTGGAGCTTTTTCACCGGGCAGAGATGTCACTCACCGCGTTTCTCCGCTCCAACAGGGACACACAAAGGCTTCCCCAGGTGCCAGAAGGGCAGCCCAGGCCAGCCCTCCCTGCTCCCTGCCTGCACATCCCTTCTGCTTTCTGAAGACCTCTAATCTCCACCCAAAAATATCTCGTTGCCCCAAACTTTCCATCCTGGAACTTCCAGGATTAAGGCAGCTCTGGAGACAGTGGACAACAGAGCTTTTCTGCAAAGCCTCCAGCCTGTCCTGACCCACAGACCCCAGGAGACCCCTCTGGGAGCTCCTTCTCCCCAGCTCTGCGGGCAGGAGCACGGTGACGGGGGGGACACAGCCGTGTGCTGGGGGGTACTCACTTCACTCGGAAGTCGTCGGCTGTCATCCTGCTGTTGTCGATGTTCAGAATGATCTTGTTGTTGTCTATGGTTGCACAGACGATCTGGAAAAAGAACATTCACTCCTGAGGTCTCTTCCCTGTATCCTCGGACTCAAACGTACCCTCTGCCCGGGGCTGCCAAACCCAGCCTTTTTCTCTCTCTATATATATATTTTTAATATTAGCCAGCAGGCGTGGGCCAGCAGGGGTGCAGCAGTCACGGGGGTTCAGGGAAGCGCAGTGAAGGCATTAAAAGGCTAAAAACACGTGGATCAGATGCAGACAGTCGGGGAGGTGTAATTAGTGGTGTCCAGCAGCAACCACAATCTACCCAACCTTTTACATCTAAATCTTACTTTCACAGATAAGAGATTTAAAAGCTTTGTTTCCAGACTTAATTATAAACCCGTCTCATTCCATCTGTTTCCTGGATTCTTTTCACTTTACTCTCCTTTGTGCATTAACATCCCAGGATTTTTGCCAAACACATTTTACAAACAAATGTTTTTCATTTTAAATTGCATACTCAAAATGTGTTATGGCAATGCTCTCTTTGTTCTGATTTTTAATGAGATGCCCTATATTTCCCAGTTCTGTATGAAAGAGTAAACTTGTAAAAGAAAAAAAAAAAAAGAAAAAGACTAGTGACAGAGTAAAATAGAAAAATAGATTCAGGCAAATTAATGTGATCCATTATTTATTTCTCTTTTAGTTGCCTTCTCGGCATATATCTATTTAAACACCTTGGCACAAACCTAATTCAGAACGACCACTGACTGAGCCAGTCCAGATGTATTCCATAAACAGAACATTTTCCCCTTCAAATATACCCGATGAATAAAAGGGATGGAAACTCTCCAAAGACTCAAGGTTTTACCTTGGAGCTCTCGGGCTTTCTGCAGGCAGGTCTCCTAATGGCTGTTTACGGAAAGCACCTGACACCAATGAAATTTCTCCTGGAAACTGCATTAAGTTGTGAACCAGCACCGTGGGAGAAGCTTACAAGGGGGAAAGCAGCTGGGAAAGGATGTTACCTGGTTCTGAAGATCTTCTATTTCTTTGTAATAGCAGCTGTAGTCCCGGGGCTCACAGAAGGGGCCCTGCTTGGCGTACCACTCCCTGATCCTGCACTCCAGGTCAGCGTTTTCTTGTTCCAGGCACCTCACCTTGTCCAGGTAAGAAGCCAGGCGGTCGTTAAGGTTCTGCATGGTGACCTTTTCGTCACCAGAAAGAAGGATGCCATCACCAGCAAAACCACCTCCAACTACCCCTCCACCAAGACCGATACCAAGGCCACCTCCGATGCCACCGCCAAAGCGAGCACTGCCACCGCTGAATCCGATGCCTGAACATCCTCCGAGGACAGCGGCTCCTAAGCCACCTCCATAGTTTCCACCAACCAAACTGCCAGTGCTCAGTCCTCCTCCATAATTCACGCCACCGCAGTAGCTCCTACCAGAAAACCCCCGGCTCCCACCTATCCCACACGTGGTGTATCTTCCAGAGGAGACGGAGGAGATGCGCGCTCCTCCACCACCACCACCGCCACCAATCACACAGCTGCCACCGCTGGTCCTGCCCCTGAGAGAGCCAGTTGTCTGCTTAATACTACAACTCATTGTGAGGACAGCTGCAGATCCAACCCAAAGCCCAAAGCAAGATGCACAGCTTGATACGGAATCAGACTGCGGGGTGGCTGCTGCCGCAGATCTCTATTTATACCTTCCAAAGGGGGTGTCACCTACAGGGTGTTTCTTCTTCCCACGGGGCTGGCTAGTCTGGCTGTTTATGCCAAGAATAAATAGCCTATAGGCAGTTTCCCTCTAGAAATCCCAGTTCACAAGGAAGATACTTTACATGTCAGCAGCTTATTCCAAAAAGTAAAATAATGTTTTATGAGTCATCAGCTTTTTGTATGATGCAAACTTTACAACAAGTCGAGAAAAAAAATTTGCCCTAGATTATGTACAAAGAAGAAACATTGGTATTTATAACATCAAAGTGCCTTTTATCTTTTATTAATTTGTATTTATTTTATTCTTAGTCAAATAAACATTTTTGTATCACATGCTATGGTAGAGTCCGCGGAACAAAAATGGGAAATTAATATAGATTCTCACTTCTGAAAAGAGTGAATAATAGTGACTGTGGTGGTGAAAAGGCTGGGGATGTCGTGGTGTCAGGGTCTGTCACCCAGCAGATTGACAGACCATTGGGCTAATACATGCTTTACTGTGAGATTTCTTACATCCCTGAGGTCAGTCATAGAGTCATAGAATCATTTAGGTTGGAAGAGACCCTTGGGGTCATCGAGTCCAACCATCTCCCCTACTCTACAAAGTCCTCCCCTACACCATGTCCCTCAGTACCGCATCTAAACGGCCCTTAAACACATCCAGTCCCCTGTGGTTTTAGTTCCCCGTTTGTGGTTTATCCTTGGTCACACAAACACGAGACGACAACGCGCTCGGTCTGTGGAGATGGGGCAGCTGAACGTCCCCGCGTACCCCCGTGTCTCCCTGTTACACAGGCTGGCTGGAAGCTGGAGTGCAGCAAGTACCTCCTTCAAGTTATTTTTCAATTACTCTAATTGCTGTCCACGCTGCCTCAATTTGTGGTGATCGCAGATAAAGGCAGAGCTGACAGGAGAGGGAGTATCCACAGGCCATACATCCCGTTCCCCGATGGACTGAGGTGAAGTCCTGCAGGTCTTTGCCGTTACCGAGATTGCGCTGAGCACAAAATAAGAAGGAGAAAAGCTTTCCTCCTTTCTGAGCCGAGTTTGTCAGAGCAGCAGCAGGCTCTGGCTCGGCCTCGCTGGTCGTGGGAGCACCATCTCCAAAGCCAGACCAGCAGCAGCCAGAGGAGCGCTGGGAGAACTGGCTCCACCAGTGCAGGTCCCTTTCTCCGGCAGACGGCTGTCATGGGAGGATATCCTGCTCTCCAGGGGACGGAGGCTTCTCTTCCCTACAGGGTGGAATTCCCAACCAGCTCTTACTCACAACTGACCTTTGACTCAAGTGTGTCCGTATTTACAGGAGTGGTTGTGATAAATCCTCCTTGGCGGTGAGTGTGGCACCCCAAGAGGGAGCCCTGAGAGCCGCCGTCCCCTGGGGCAGAGGAAACCCACGCTCGGGCCTCGGCCACCTCTTACGTTGTAGTGGGAGGGTGGACCATGTGTGCAGTGAGGTGGCTTCTGTCACCACGGCCAGAGAGTGTCCCCAAGCATATATAGGTGTGCTCGTCTTCTCACCAGCATGGGTTAGGACTCTCCGCTCTCCAGCGAGATAATTTATTTCTTTACTTAGATCAGAAGTGATAAAAAGACGCCTACCCGAGGCTGGCAACATCTGAATATTCATTATTTGGATGGTTCAGAGAAAGAACTTGCTCAAGGACAGAGCTGGAGTCTGTCAGAACTCAGATTCCTAGCCGGGACTGCCTTGCCTGAAATACAAGTCCATCCTCCCCCCCAGAAACACATCCCCGCGCTCCCCACACAGCCTGGACGCACTGTAGAGAAAGTCATGAGCAAAAAGGAGCGTAGGGAGTGAATCTGCCTTTCATCCGTCGTTTTGAGGAATATAATTGAAGACAGGGTGTGGCTGTAAGAGCCCACAGAAATTAATATAATGTCTGGATTGCTTGGAGCTTTGCTTCTGCTGTGTGGGGTTTCAGAAGGTGCCTAATGGAGACCTGGAGAGAGGGTTGAGGCTGCCTTCCCTTTCCCCTTCCCTTTCCTTTTCCCTTTCCCTTTCCCTTTCCCTTTCCCTTTCCCTCCCTTCCCCTTTCCCTTCCCCTTCCCCTTTCCCTTTCCCTTCCCTTTCCCCTTCCCCTTTCCCTGTCTTGGGGAACTGGGATGTCTCCAGAAGCCAGTCCCTGACTAACCAGACTATTTTAAAAGCAGTTTGATTTTTCCCTCACTGGGCTGTTGTGGGTGGGCGGGCAGCGTGTGGCCATGGTGGTCCCACTCTGGGCACTGCCCTGCTCCTTCCCACTGTGTCCAGGCTCCATGACCTGCACCCAGACTGGCCACTGGGCGGGCAAGCCGTGTGGGTGTTTGCTGGCCATGTGGCTCTCTGCTTTCTCCCGCTCTGAGCCACCCTCTTGTTCTGAAACATCCATCAGTCTGGGCATTTTTCCCCACCAAACTCATTTCTTTTCCTCCACTGTTGTGTTGTGTGTGTGTGTCCCTGCAGCCCAGAGCGTGGCCTTGGGGTGGAACTGTGTGTAGGGAAGGACTGTGCAAGCCTAAGACGTAGAAATGTCCCCAAAGGTTGGGACATTCACAACCTAAATGTGGGAGAGGAGGAAAGAACCGGTTTTGTGCAATGGTCCCAGCACAGAGTCGCTGCAAACGCTGTTGGCTCTGGTGGGCACTGGGGAAAAGAGGAGAAATCTGGGAGTGGAGGAATGAGTGTAAGCGCTGACACAGGGCGATGGGCAGCGCAGGAGGAGCCGGAGGATGCCCCATGTCCAAGGCTGGACCCATGGGAGCCATGGCCATCCCGTGGCACAGCCCTTGCGCAGAACTGGTTGGACTCGATGATCCCAAGGGTCTCTTCCAACCTGAATGATTCTATGATTCTATTATTCTATGATTGATTTTATGATTCTATGAACCGCAGCCCGGCTGGTCGCTCTCCACGCGCTGCTCATGGCAGCTGATAGTGTTCCCTTGTGTCAACTACAAGGAGGGTGTGCCTCATTCGGCAGAACTTTGCTTTCACAAGCGTTGCTTCAATGGTGTTTGTGCAACCACACTGGAACATGATTTTATCTTGTCACTTGTAATTACCATTAGTAATTTGCATAATAGCCATTAGGCATCACTTATTAAACGCTTCTTTGATGTGATACTGAGCCGGCTCCAGACCTCATGCTCCCATCTTTTAAATGCAGACCACGACTTTTTTCTGGGCAGTGACTCATTGGTTTATACCACCGTGTTTAGCAGAATTCCTGTAAGGCAAGAGAAACAATTATCACAATGAGTTTGGTAACAGCATGATCCTAGGTCTTAAATACGCCCGAGAGACCAGGGTGATTGCTCTGTTGCAGTTTGTTCTTGCTGACTGTTCACATCTTCAAGCTACCTCTGAGCAGTTGCGAGTGATGAAGTAGAAGTTCAGCAGAACATGGAGGTTTCTTCCTGCTGAAGCTCACAATCTGCCCTGATTCCTTTTGAGAAGGGTTTTAATTTCCTTCCAGTGTGTCTGGATGATGCCAGTGCAGTCAGACTTCCCAGAAGCATGGCTGATTATCATGGCAAAGAGGAGCGCAGGAGAATTTGTGTAGGACAGATGGGAATGGGGATGGGTGAGGGACCCACAGCCCTGTCCCTGCTGTGGGGACAGCCCGGGGAGGGAGGGGGATCATGGCTTTTGTCCAGTCCCTGCTGGCAGAGCCGTGGGGGTCAAACAGAACCTGACCAGCAGAACTGGAGCACGGGGGGGCTCCTTGTGCTCAAAGACCACCCGGTGGCACCATGGAAACGGGCAGACAGAGGTGGGGGCCAGCAGAGCCTCCCCACTGTCTTCTTTTTATCTGTATTTCATACTTGTGCTAAAAAGTCTCTTCATTTCAATACACTTTCAATATGTGGTTCATGGTGGCAATTTAAATTATGTTATTCATGTCCCGAGCTGAGAAATCTCCTGCTGATTACAGTAGGTGTTTTCTCATCTATGTAATTCTTTATAAATGTTGCACAAGCCAATAAATAAAAATACAAGCCCCAGAGATCGTTAGTGTGGGTGTGAGTGAGACTGTACCCATCTGGGTACTTTATAAGACAGACTTTTATAGAGAAATTATAGTTTGTACCTCACAGCAGAATATGCCCTACTATTAAAACCGTGTAGTGCCTGTAATCGGGTGTAATTGCTTGTGCTGCGCAGCCCTGAGCTCGTGGCCGATTTCCAGCACTGGCAATTTGCTCAACTACTTGTTTGCTCTCTGTTTCTTCGCCGATGCCTTAAACCTTGGGTATGTTCACTCCTCAGGGAGTTCCTCTGGCAGTGGTGTCATTCCCATGTCTCTGCTCTCTCTGTGGGACAGAGACTGACCTGTACTTTGCAGCACTTTGCACCCGCAGCCGCTGGTCGGGATGCTGAGACCCCCTGCTCACAGCCCGAGTGCTCATAGTTCCCCTTTTCTCCCCGGGGCTCCCACCCTTGCTGTTTTAATTTCCTCTCCTGATCTGGTACCACCAGCCTAAATCACAGAATCACAGTCTGTCTTTGAGATAATTGTCATTTGCACATTAGAAGATCGTTAGTGTGGGTGTGAGTGAGACTGTACCCATCTGGGTACTTTATAAGACAGACTTTTATAGAGAAATTATAGTTTGTACCTCACAGCAGAATATGCCCTACTATTAAAACCGTGTAGTGCCTGTAATCGGGTGTAATTGCTTGTGCTGCGCAGCCCTGAGCTCGTGGCCGATTTCCAGCACTGGCAATTTGCTCAACTACTTGTTTTCTCTCTGTTTCTTCGCCGATGCCTTAAACCTCGGGTATGTTCACTCCTCAGGGAGTTCCTCTGGCAGTGGTGTAATTCCCATGTCTCTGCTCTCTCTGTGGGACAGAGACTGCCCTGTACTTTGCAGCACTTTGCACCCACAGCCGGGATGCTGAGACCCCCTGCTCACAGCCCGAGTGCTCATAGTCCCCCTTTTCTCCCCGGGGCTCCCACCCTTGCTATTTTCATTTCCTCTCCTGATCTGGTACCACCAGCTTAAATCACAGAATCACAGTCTGTCTTTGAGATAATTGTAATTTGCACATTAGAGGAGAAAAGGAGGCAGCTCTGAGAAGCTGCACTCCCTGTGCTGGTGTGAGCGGCTGCCTACGATGTCCCAGGGCACCCCCAGTACTGTGTCCCATGCACTGCAGCCTCTGCCTTTCATTTATCTTCTCTTCCCTGTCTCTTCCTACCCTGTTTCCACAGTCATCCTCTCCCATCCCTGTCCAGGTCATAAACTCCCTGGGCAGGGAGCATCCTCCCGTGGCTGCGCAGCAGTTGGAGCTGGAGGGGCTGTCTGAGGCAGGGTCGATAGTGCTGCGACCCATGGTGGGATTAGTGCTGCAGGAATGGGAGATACAGAATGTGGTAGAGAAAGTATTTAACACAGAGCCTTGTCCGGAAGCTCATTAGAGCAATTACTGCCACGGGGCTCACTGGTGTCTGTCACTTGGGCAGAGGCTGGAGAGACCCATCCCCGGGGACGGCCCTGGTCCTTGGATCCACCAGCCCCAGTGCAGCCACTGACACGGTGTCCAGAGGTGACACAGGACAAAGGCTCAGAGCAACAAACAAAACTGTCTGCAAAACATCCCATCTTTGCTGTGATTTTTGCCAGGCATGTGGGGAAGCTTTGGCTTGTCCCACATGGTCATTGCAGAAGCGTCTGAGCCGTTTCTTCCTTTAGAAATGGACACAAAATCAGACTCATCGTATCCTCCGAGGTCTTCATGTTAGAAACCCTCACGTTAGACCTCTGCATAAGGTTAGTCGTCAAACCCCGGCCAATATTTCATTAGAGAAAGAGAAAAGGAGCTACATAATGGGGAGCAAAGATGGTGAGCCCCGTTCACAGGAGTCAGGTCCCACTGCTGGTGAGAAGGGACAGGCAGGGTCTGGAGCCTGTGCTTGCACAAGCAGCAAAACTCAGTCGTGTTCCTCAGTGCCTTTGTAATTCCTTTCTCTCTGGTAGTAAAATACCGGCATCTTTTTTTTTCCTGGCTGTTTATTGTATCTGACTTTTAAAGACGTTCTCTCCCACATATTAATTTGTCTCACCCTTTTATCTTCCCACATGTTGCCAGCTGGTTCTTCCTGTTTGCCTTTTTTAAAAAATCCATTTAGAGGTTCTTTATTTAGCATTTTCTCTGGGAATTGTTTCCCTCCACCAGAAGGGTGTGTCTGGTCCAGCAGAGCTTTGCTTTCAAAATTACTGCTTCAGGATTATTTGGGAAAACTTGTTGTTCTTGCTTTTATCCTATTACTGTGCATTCATAATTACTCAAAGGTGTTATATATTATATTATATTATATTATATTATATTATATTATATTAGCACACACCTACTTTAATGAAAACCTGATTTTCACTCAGAAGTCTCTCTCTCTCAGCAGACACTGGTCGGTCAGGCTGCCTTGAACCCCCTTCCCTACACTGTCCATCCTCCCTGAGCATCTTCTTCCTCCTCTCCTTCTACTTCAGGGCTCAGCTTATGCCTCAGCAAATGTGCCTTCCCCCAGTGTCACCAGTCCCTTTCCTCCGTCCTCTCCACCACCCTCCTGCAGGCACTGGGTTCAGCAGGAGCAGGGTGGCAGACGGGCACACTGATTATTTTTCTTTTTCCCTTGTGAGGTTTGCTTTGAGGATACAGAGGAAAGACAGATTTCTGACCAAAGGCGTATGACAAATATAACTACCTGCGTAACGATTTTTGAAATACTTGCATGTTAATTGACTTGTAGCATTTATTTCTCAGGTTCAAGGCTGTGTCAGTAGCAGCAAAGTTTTATTAGGGACAAGCTTTGGTGGTTGCCAGACGCGTGCCCGCAGAGCAGCTCAGCCCAGGGGAAACTGGGTGGTGGGATCCCAGCAGCATCAGAGGATGGGGCCAGGGGACAGCGGGGGGGACAGGAGGCAGCCCTTCTGCAAAGCCCCCTCCCACTGGTGCCGTAAGCAGGACTGAGAACTGTCGGGTTATTTTTGCCTTGCTTTTTCCAAATGGTTTGTTCTCTGCGAGGTCTCCTCGGGGGGGTGCAGTGGGGCTGGGGGGCAGCTCTCATCTCTGGGGGGACCTGCCGAGGGGGAGCCGGGAGTGTTAGTTTTTTAGGTTTTTTTTCTGCGTACCGTGCCTTTCTCTCACATCCCCATGCTCTTGTCCTGACGTTTCTTTTCCCTCTCCTCCCTCCCTTGCTTCATTTTATGGACTTGTTGAAAGACTCGTGACTGACTGACTCCCCCTGCCAGTTCCTCTGAAAGTCTTATTTAAACATATTTACTATTAGTAACTCCCCAGTGTCAAATCTATTTTCTAGGCATAAATTTATAAACGCCCCATAGCTGCATCCCCTGACGCTGCCTGATCAGTCCCCGGGCTCTACCATCAACACCATCCTGCCCCTCTTCACCACCCAGATGAGCTTGGAGACCCCTCCTTCTCCTCCTCCTTCTCAGGGGCACAGCAGGACTAAAGAAGCAGCATCTCAGGACCCCTCACCTTTCCCCTCACCCCCACAGGCAGGCTCAGGGCAGGCACGGCGGGCACAGGCCGGCCTTCATCCCACCGCTTCTTCCAGCAGACGTTGGGACTCCTCTTCCCACCGGGCCTCTGTGGAAGGAGACAGAGCTGGTCACCAAAGCCCCAACATCCCCACACGGAGATCTGCCCCTGGACCCCGAGCTGCTCTCCTTGGTTTAGCTGTGTCTCTTCCCTCACTATTGGCCATTTCCCCTTCCAACCACGAGGGTCATTAAGGGCAACAATTAGCACATCCTCCATCCTGCCTGCCTGTTGACAGCTACTCCTTTTCCATGGTGAAGCCCTCAGGATTACCCGAGCTCTGAGACAGCTCTGGCAGTGTCGTTTCATCCCCTGCGACGGGCATTTTGGAACAAGAACTGATTCCATGGTGAAGCCCTCAGGATTACCTGAGGCCCTGAGACGGCTCTGGCAGTGTCATTTCATCCCCTGCAATGGGCATTTTGGAACAAGAACTGATATTTCCTGTAACTAACTGAGGACAGGAGAGCCCACCTCGGGGCACCACCATCAAAACTCCCCTTTTTCCCGACTGATGGAGCCGGTGGGTGCTCGGGCTGGTTCTCTGTGTGTGCGGCCATTTAGGAGGTTACCAGCCTGCCTCACTCTTTCAAAATCCCAGGCAATGGGAGGCAAGGGAAGAGCCAACTGCTTTGCATACAAATTAATTTTCCCAAAACTTTAATTAAAATTGTTGTGTGAAACTGAAAATGTTTAGATAATTTATCTGTTTCAGTTAATTTGCCTGCCAGTCCCTGTCTAGCTGCCGCAAAGCCGATAAAACTCAGTTAACGACGGTGTTGGTCAAAGACCTTGCCCAGCTCCCAGTGAAGGGCTGTGATGCTGCTTGCCCCGGTGGCTGGGACAGCACCGGGGGCCACTCCTGGCCACCTTCACTAGCCCAAGAGGGGGCACAACCTCTGGCTTGCACTCTGGACGTTTACCAGAGCCAAATCCTCAAACACCTCGTGGTTTGCTAATAGCCCTGCCTGGTACAGGTCAGCACTGGTTCTTCACCACAACACTGCTTTTACCACTGCTGTCATGAATTTGCACGTCCCCGTGAGTGAGAGCAGAGGGGTGTGAGTGCCCCCAGTGCCCTGCGTACATGATGTCGTGCTGGCCGCCCTCCAGCAGGCAGTGGTAGGTCTGGATCTCCTGCTCCAGGCGGCATTTGACGTCCAGCAGGATCTTGTACTCCTGGTTCTGGCACTCCATCTCCGCCCGGATCTCAGCCAGGCGCTGCTCCACGCAGGAGATCTGGCTCTGTAGCTCCGCCAGGTATTTGTTGTAGCGACACTCGGTTTCCGCCAGAGACGATTCCAGGTTTTCTTTCTAAAAATGGAGAACACAAAGGTGCCTGGACATGCTGCAGGCTCGGCCCCTCGCTTACAGGCTCTGGTCCTGCAGCTTCCTAACCAGAGCTGGGGGGCAGGGGGGCTGAGGTGTAGATGACGGTGGCATCACCTACCATGGTGAGCTGGGCTTGCACGTTGATCTCCAAGGCCTGCAGCTGCCGTCTCAGCTCGGTGACCTGTTTGTTGCTTGACTCGATCTCCTGGCTGCTTGTGACAACCTCCAGGTTCACCTCCTCCACCTGCGAGGTATGAAAAGAGCACCCCTTTCCTCACCCCCCGCAGCACCTCATTGTGCAGGGGCTTCACTGCCCTGCGTGTGTGCACGCCCCGCACTCTGCCTGGCTATTCCCAAACCTAAAGCCCCCCCTCTTTATTCCATCGGGACCCTGTAACACCATGCGGTGGCCCCTCTGCCACGAACAGAAGAGCACTGAAAGTGGGCAGCACGATTAGGTGCTGAGCACATCTGTGACACAATTGCTCATATTAAAACATCTCCTGCAAGTGTCTTAATCTCTTATTTTTCCCTTTTCCCCTGAGAGGCAGAGCAGAGACAGCTCTGGGGGGGGATGTAGTACCTTGCAGGCGTACCACTGCTCAGTCTCTTTGCGGTTGCGCTCCATCAATGTTTCATACTGGCACCTCAGATCTTCCAGGATCTTCCTCAGGTCCGGGCCAGGGCAGGCGTTGACCTCCACGCTCACGTCTCCAGTCGCCTGTTTCCTCAGACAGCTCATTTCCTGCAGAGAACACGGGCACCAGATCAGTCATATCCACACTCCGTCTTCTTTTCTTCTTAATTCTCTAAGAGTCGGGGGCAATCTGACCTCCTCGTGGTTGGTCTTGAGGCAGCACATCTCCTCGGTCAGAGCCTCGCACTGGAGCTGCAGGTCGGTCTTGCAGCTGGCCAGCTGGTCCAGGACGGGGCGCAGGTTGCAAATGTCCGCGTCCACGTTTTGCCGGAGACCACATTCGGTCTCGTACCTTAAGCCACAGTCAACAAAGCAAGGTCAGCATGTCAGCGAGCCACGGCAGCCCTTGAGTTGAGTTTGTGGGGAAAAAAATTTAGGAGCAAGGTCTTCTTCGCCTCAGGCATGCGATGCTCTGACCGTGGTCAATGGCAGCAGGACAAGCAGAGTGTTAGGGCTTCCCCATCACCACCGCTCACCGCTGAGCACAGGAACCCCCCGGTCCAGCTCAGCACCCTACTCACTTCACTCTGAAGTCATCAGCAGTCATCCGGTTGTTATCAATGTTCAGAAGGATTTTGTTCGTCTCCATGGCCGCACACAGGATCTGGAAAAGAAAACGCAGGAGAGAGATTCATAGAATCATAGAATCATAGAATGGTTTGGGTTGGAAGGGACCTCAAAGATCATCGAGTTCCAACCCCCCTGCCCTGGGCAGGGACACCTCCCACTAGAGCAGGTTGCTCAAGGCCCCATCCAGCCTGGCCTTGAACCCCTCCAGGGATGGGGCAGCCACAACTTCCCTGGGCAACCTGTTCCAGTGTCTCACCACCCTCATAGCAAAAAATTTCTTCCTGAGATCTAATCTGAATCTTTTTTCTTCCAATTTAAAACCGTTTCCCCTTGTCCTACCATTACACCTCCTGGCAAAGAGTCCCTCCCTGGCTTGTGGCTTCCTCTGGCTACAGAAGGTCCTGGAGGAACCATCCCCCTGGAGTAACACAACCCACTTATTTTATAATGATTCTTGTATATTGGGATTATTAATCAGTGAGGTGGCATCACACCGGGGAAACCCACGTGCCAGGTTGGTGGAGCTGAAGCTCCAGTTCTCTGTAAACCCAGTGTCCTCCTCCCTCAAACCATCCGTTTTATATAAACTATTGCTTCATCTGCCCCTCCAGACACCTATTGCCTCTGCTGTTCGACACTGGTCTGTCCACACGTGAAAGCAAACCCCAAAGAAATACAAGAATTTTCTTGGAAAGCCGTGATTTACCTGGTTTTGCAGGTCTTCGATTTCCTTGTGAAAGCAGCTGTAGTCCCGTGGCTCGCAGCTGGGCCCTACCTTGGCGTACCACTCCCTGATCTTGCACTCCAGGTCGGCATTGTCCCCCTCCAGGAGCCGCACCTTCTCCAGGTAGGAGGCCAGGCGGTCGTTGAGGTTCTGCATCGTCGCCTTCTCATTGTTAGCGAACAAGATCCCGTCACCGCAACCAGCGCTGACCCTGGTGAAGCCACCACCGACACCCCGACCGCAGATGCCTCCACCGCTGAATCCGAGGGTGGAACAAGCCCTTTGGGCAGCTCCAAAGCTCCCACCGGCGGCACTGCCGGCGCTCAGCTGCTTCCCGAGGAACCCCTCTCCTAAACTGCCACCGGAGAAGTTGCCGACTCCACCAGCCAGGTCGTAGGCAGCGTGTCTCCCCGAGGAGGCGGAGGAGACCTTCCTGGCACTGCCGGCCGCGGAGCTGCCCTGGGAGCAGGTGGTGACGACCTGCCTGACGGCACAGCTCATGGTGAGGGCACGAGGATCCAGCGCGGAGCCCAGGGCGAGCGGCACCGGTCGCTGCAGGAGCTGGTTGTGTTCCCTCCGTCCCCACGGTCCTCTATTTATACCGTTCCTCCTGGATGTTGCCACCGGAGAAGGGCTGTTTATTCTTCCTCCTTGTGACCTGGCTAGTGCTGGTTGTTTTCTTGGCAGCCGGAAATATTTCCCCAAAGGCGTTTGTCTCCAGAAATCCCACAACAGACAGATGCTTTGGTTAACAGAAGCGTGTTTCAAAACTACATCAAAAATGGGACTTCCTGAATCATCAGGTCTGACCTGTGATGACAGCGAACCAGCAGTGACACAAAAAAAAAACCGACAATACCCGAGAGTGCCCGGGGAATGAAACATCATAGCAATTATCCATCCCTGGCGTGGGCGAGTCTACCCGGAAAGTGAAAGCTGTGGGAAAGCCGTCCTATCTGACCCAGCCTGTTCCCCCTCTTTGCCACCAGAACTGGGGGTGCCCCCCTTTCCCCCCCCCAACCAGCTCCCACGGTCCCCGGGGCCAGAGCCAGGAGAGCATCCTGCCCCGTGGCCTCTGCGCGGGCACTGCAGCGAGGGGACAACCTGCTGGGTCTGGGTCATCAGACCTCGAAATGCACAGAAAAATATGGTACCAGTGATTGTTTGTTGCTTCTCTTTCTCCTTCGTGTGTGCAAACATCCCTTTGCAGAAGGCACATCCCATGGTATTTGTTTTGCTGCTTTCCAGGGTAGACAAAATATTCAAATATTTATCCAAAATAAAAGAGCAAAGGTTATTTCCTGAGTACCAAATGCTGCAGTCAACTGTGAGCAGCCACATGAGATGTTCCATAAGATTCTAACACAGTAACGTGGAGAATTTCAGAAACAGCCTTATCCCATGTGGGTCTGACCCAGTTCCAACCAGCACCGTGGAAATTCTCCAAATATAATCCAGGGAAAATGTGTTAAATTTAGAAAAGACACTAGGAAAGATCATTTTTAAAAAGTTATTAAACTATTTTTTAGTCTTGGAATGCTGAGTTGAGGAAGAAGGGAAATAATTAAACTGTTTTGTCATCTGAATCTTTCATTTTATTAATACCATTAATACAGCTGTGCTAATATTGGCTGACTTTCCCCCGTGTGTTCAGCCCTGGGTTTGGCATCCAGGTCACCTGGACACGGCACATCAAGGATGCGTCGGGTGCAGCCCGTTTCAGAACTATTGCTTGTTTCATTTGGCCAAGTTCATTAGTGCTTGATTTTATCTTGGCACAGCAAATCCAGAGCACCTTAAATGTGGTGTGGGTTCTGTGTGTGCCCATCCTTTGTTACATCCCTAATTAGCAGGAGAAGCCTGTGCCAGGCGTGCCCGGCGTGCCTCGGCGGTGCCCAGATCCCAAGGACCTGTGCCAGGGTGCCCAGCAACATCTCAGCCTCGGTGGTGGCCAGATCCTGGCTGTGGCACGGCCAGGACCAGACTCCTCTGCATGGACCCAAAAGAACTGGGCAGAATCGGTCTTTATTCCATAGAAGAACTGTAAAAATAACGCAAAGCTAACATTTATTTCGGAAACATGCAGTACTTAACTTTTCAATAAGAAAAGCATTAATGAGTGGAGGGTTTTTTTGATTATTGAAAACTGAGCAGAGGTGTCCACGTTTCTTCCATGCTTTTGGACTTCACATCTTCCTGTAGGTCTCTGTGGCCAATGGGGATTAGAATTCCTACAGCTTTTGTAAAGGAGAATAATCATTTCGCTCTTGATTTTACTGGGTTTGTGGGTTCTTCGTGGTAGTTTTTTCCTTTCCCAAATTTGTAATTTTTATTAAAACCGTCTCTTGCTTTCACAGCAGAGCACACCTGGGGACCTGCCAGCAGCTACGCTCCTCGCTTTATTAAAAGCCATTTTCATGTTTGTGTGAGGAGATCTGTTAATGACGGTATCTACATGCGTAATGGCAGGCTCCTCTTTCCAGAATTAACTTTTCCTGACTCCCAGACTGGAGTCTGTGGCCGGGGCTTTGCTCGGCGCGGCCGCCACGGGCAGCGCCTCCGAGGAGCCGTCCTGGCCCGACCTGGGAGCCCCTCAGAGGCATCACCAGCCCCTGGGGGACACAGGGGAGCAGAGGAACGATGGCTGGTGAGGAGCTCCCGGCTCAGAAACAGCCGTGCCGGCCTGACAAGGAAAAATTATCACTTCAAGTAACCCACGAGCAGAAAAGCCTCCCCTGGGCAAAGGTGCTGCTCCCATTTAATCAGCTTTGCAAAACATAGGAAAAAAAGGCATTAGGCTTCAGCTTGGCATTTGCATCTCGTGCTGGGCTGGAGCAGGAGGGTGGCAGGGGATGGGCACGGTGGCGTTGTCCCCGAGGGTTGATCTGCCGCCTGCAATGATCAGGTTCAAAAGAGCAATGAAAATGAGGAAGATTAGATTTCCCCGGAGGACCGTCCTTTGGTAATCCCAGGATATTTTAAGGCTTAAGACTGTTTCTTCAGCTAATGCCTATGAAGTACAGAAAGCCTCATGTGCCCCCAAGAGGGAGATCCAGCTTTTCATGTTATTACAAATATTCCCTGAGTCACTGCCTGTGTTCAGGTCTTGGTGACTCAGCCACGGCACCGAGCCCTGAGCCCTGCCAGAGCCCAGGCTGCCACCCCAGCTCAGGTTTGGGCTCCTGGCAGCCACCAGGGAGAGCCAGGGCAGAGATGGGAGACCCAGGCACGTTCTGCCACCCCAAGAGCACCCGCTGGGCCATGGGGACATCCCTGACCCCTCACGGGGCTGGTCCTGCCTTGGAGAGCCGTGTCGGGACGTCCTGGTGTGTCAGCAGGAGCTGCAGCAGCCCCAGCTCCTGCCTGCTCATCACCAGCTAAATTTCAGAGTTTCCCCTATGGAAAATTGTTCTGTTTGCTATCAACAAAGTATTTTCTTATCGACCTATTGATGTCATTGTGGTTCCACTTCCCTTCTGCCTGTTACTGGCCGTACGACGCTGCTCTCCCTCCCTGGTGACACCGGGGTTCCCATCCCGGCTTTGCGAGTCCCTCTGGGCCAATCTATCAGCTTTTCTGAGTCTCAATTTCACACTTTGTGGGATAGAAACAATAATAACAGTAATTCTCCTCCTCAGGGCATTGTAAGAACAACTGTCTGATGGAAACATGGGGCTTTAAAGATCAGAAACATGATGCTCACTTTAAGTACTATTCATTTTAAGTTTTCTTGCCATTTGGTTTTAAGTTTGACTGTGGCACATCCTGCGTGTTTCATCCTATGTGTTTGAAATACCCTTCAAGGATGTCCTTGGTTTTCCTTTTTGGTTTTGTTGTCCATTAAGGTTTCACCATTATTCACCGAGGACTTGCTCCTCTAACTCCTTGGTGAATCCCAACAAGGTTTTTCTTGATGAAGGCTTTCATCTTGCAGGAAATTATCTCCAAACCCAGGTGTTTGTCCATCTCTTGGATGTGGTAATTTGTCCGTGTTCCACAGATCCAAACTGTGTGCAGCGAAGAGTAATAATAAAAAATAAATTGCCTCATAGTTACGTGGTATTTTCCTTCTTCAGAGCTCTGTAATGTAACAGAGTGATTACTTCTTCTGAGCCCAGACCTCTCTGCTGTTTATGATGATGGGGTTTTGCAGAGCTTCATTTAAGCAGAGCAGAATTTCAGCCTTTCTCATGGATGCAAATATACATTAGTGAATGTGGAAAACTCCTGATAAGATCCTCCCAGTGGGACTGAATAAACCGATTACAAACCCGGGCTCTGCACCAGCTCTCCCAGCTCTCCTCAGGCATTCCCTGCAGGCTGTTCCCACCAGCAGAGGTAAATGGATCTCTCAGCACTGGGTGACAGGTATCAAAGAAAATGAAATATTCTGCTCAATAAATCTCTCCCTTGTGCCCTTTTGGCTGCAGAAGCGGCCGTGCCTGACCATCTGCAGCAGAGCCACGTACTCTTGGACTGACATCCTCTTTTAGCCTCCTACTTATATTTAATCCATGATGTTTGTGGGTTTCAGGAAGCCTTTCTGTATTCCTACACTTGGGGCGTTAAAAAGCTGCCATTGCAATGGAAGTACAACTACTCCCTTCTCCTGGCAAAGAAGAATAAAGCACATTTGCAGTTTATTGAGGATTTCCACCCTGCAGCCCTGGCCATTGCCATAAGGTCTGGGACAGCTCGATGCTGAAGTACTTTATTGCTTGATCTAGTTGTTATTTTTGAGATTTCCTGTTTCTGCAGGGAAGGTCTGTTGTTCCAGCAGAGAGAAGCGTGATACAGTCGGTGAACTCTGCGCTGTGTCCCGTTTCCTACCCCTTTCTGTAATTGCTGAACAGTAGCAGGGACTGATAACATCTCTTCACACTCCCTTTTCTGGAAAGACCTGGCAGGTTCCCCACTTCTTCGATCACCTTCCCTCTCCTTTGCTTGTCTCATCATGCCCAGCATGAGGTCACCGGCTCTTTCCAAGCACCAGTCCAGGCCAGGAGCATTCCAAGCCTCTGTCAGTGTCCCATCAGGACTGTGGTGCCTTTGTGGAGGCTGGAGGAGAATGAATCACCAATAATAGTCCAACAGACAGTGCTTAACGTGAGCTGCAAAAGGCCCTTTGTACATCGTTATTAGCAAAGGGAACCCGATTTACTGCAAACTGTTACCTTTTCCTTTTGTCTAAAGCCCAAATCTGTGTTCTCCAGGTGGGCGACCAACATGAGGCCATGGGCCAAGACAGAGCTAGAGAGCATGAAGTTGGATCTAAGTGATTCCCTCAGGCTTTTGGGTCTAAGACAGTTTCCTCTCCTGTCTCACCCCCAAGACACATCTGGGGGCTGTGTGACCAGCACGGCATCCTCTGCTCCTGGGTGGCTTCCAGGAGGAGAGTGGGCAAAGGCAAACCTGGTCCCTGGCCACCAGCACAGCCCTTGAGTCACCTCCTCCGGAGCGGCAGCCGGCGGCAGGCGTTGTTGACATACCATAGGTAGCTCCAGTGTTTCAGGAAGGATTTCAGCAGTGATCCACCAGATGCCATAATGATAAAAAGTTATTGCTACTCATCCCTCTGCGGATTAAGCAATGGTTACTCGCGAAGCTGTTAAGTGCAGCCCCGGGCAGCATGAAAAGACCTGTATAAATATGCCTAATAGTGTGATTTAAAGACGGTTGAATAAGGCAGAACATATGTATATATAAGATTTGCCAAGCAGCCAGGTGTTGTGCTTGTGTCTTGGAATGGTACGTGTGACAGTAGGGGTCTTGCTGGAGCCATTTAAGTTACATTTAACTTACAGGAGAAAGTGATAACCGAGAATTAGAGAACTGAGCTTTATTTTGTTGGCTTGAACTATCAGTCGTGTGGCACATTGACCTCAAAACCATCCTTCCACCATTGCCTTCATTTCACACCAAATACCCAACACCAAACTTATCTGGGTTATATCTCAGCCGGTCCCATGTCTTTACAAGCAATGAGTTCAGTAGAAAAAGCTGTGTCCAATTATTTTTGCTCCAGGTGGAACCCATATCCCTCGGTTCCCCTACTCTCACCGGCTTCTTGTGGTTTCTTAGGACTTTCCCTGGCACGAACACACAACCCCGAGGCTTTGAGAGATCACGTATCAGTGACAGACAAGTCTGCAGTTGCACGAACGAGAGAAAAAAAGCTTTATTAAATGTGTACAGAGTGCACGACGGCACCCGTGTGGAATCAGGGTAAGAGAGGGAGGAGGAGCAGGGGAGAGAAGTTGATGGCTCTGAGACACAGCCCTATCGCATCCCGCCTCAGGCAGTGGTTCCGCTCTCTGGAGTCTGGGCTCGAGGGTCCACAGAGCTGGTAGCCCTCCTAACGAGTGGTGAGGGCAACCTGCTCCCGGGAGGAGACCACCTTCCCGTCCTGCACCTCCTCCACGATGGTGCGGACCTGGCGGGAGGTTGTCATGACTGCAAAGGGAAAGCGGAGAACAATTATTCAGGGGGCAGGGAGGAGGGAAATCTCTTAACGCATTATCAGATGTCGCATGTTCTTAAGGAAGATGTGGGAAATCCCACAAGGTACTGGAAAATGCTGTTTTTAAACAGCCCTGCGCTGGCTGGGAAGAGCTCAGAGCCTGGCCCAGGGGAAAGCTCAGGGCGGCAAAAGCCTCGCTCCCCGAATGTGTGGCATCCCTTGATGTTTCTGTGTGGAGCCAGAAGACTGGCCACGCAATCACAGGGGCCATTTAGGGCAAATCATTCCTGTGCTAAAGGAGTGCAAGGTGTTCCCCTTCCCAACAGCTCTGTCCCATGGCTGGTGACTGTAAGATGCTCCCGGGCTCTGGACCCCGAGGCAGCCAGCGAGGGGCACAGCACCCCACAGGGAGTTCACTCCATCACTTTGGTTGCTGCTCTAGAAGTGGGTCTCAAAGCTGTTTGTTATAAATGTCTGTAGCAATGTGGGCACTTACCATCCCTGCCCGAGTGTGAGGACATCGCAGAGGAGTACTGGGAAGAGATGCTACAAGAGAAGGGGAAAAACAAAGAGAAGTTAGGGACAAAATCCTTTTTCTGTTGTTACATGGGCTCCATATTCAGGCAGGAAGAAAACAAGAGTGTCCCACAGCAATTGTTAAAAAAACTGCTCTCCCCAGTGTCTCCTGGAGGGCAGAGGGACCAGAGCCCCTTCCAGCAGTGAAAGGTGCCCGTTACAGCATCTCCCTGCAGATGGACACCAGGGGCAGAGCCACGGGGCATCCCTGCCTGGAATCAACGTCAGGATGAACCCTGGAAGTGCCATCGGACCAAGCCCCCAGCAGCGTATTTTGTGTCTGTGACCTGTCTCCTCCCAGGGCACCCTCCCGGGCAAAGCCCCTCTACGTACTGGGCGTCCTCGCCCTCCAGCAGCCGGCGGTACGTGGAGATCTCCTGCTCCAGGCGGCACTTGACGTCCAGGAGGACCCTGTACTCGTGGTTCTGGCGCTCCATGTCGCAGCGCAGCTCGGCCAGCTGCTCCTCCACGCTGGTGATCAGCCCCTGCAGCTGGGCCAGCTGGGTGCCGTAGCGGGCTTCCGTGTCGGCCAAGGAGCCCTCCAAGGCTGCTTTCTGTGGGCAGAGGAGAGGGGTGGCTTCAGGGGGGGCTTCAGGGGGAGACGGGGACACCCTCAGCCCCCACCCGGCGGGGAGCCGGCCCCTCGTACCGTGCTGAGCTGGGACTGCAGGTCGATCTCCAGGCTCTGGATGGTGCGCCGTAGCTCCGTGATCTCCGACTTGCCGCTCTGAAGCTGCTCCGTGTTGATGGCCACCTCCCGGTTCAGCTCTTCCGTCTGCCAGGAGCCAAAACCCATGTCAGATGACATCTCAGCCCCAGCGGAGCCAAAACCCGTGTCAGATGCCATCTCAGCCCCGGCAGGCCCAGCTGGGGGTCCCACGCGCCCCACAGCGCTGCCGGCAGGCCCAGCTGGGGGTCCCACACACCCCATGGGGCTGCCAGCCATGGACTCACCTTGCTGAAGAACCACTGCTCAGCGTCCCGGCGGTTCTTCTCCGCCAGGCTCTCGTACTGCTCCCTCATCTCTGCCAGGATCTTGGTGAGGTCGATGCCAGGAGCCGCGTCCATCTCCACGCTGATCTCTCCACCCACCTGCCCGCGCAGGGCGTTCATTTCCTGACACAAAAGAGACACATGATGCGCGTCAGAGTGAAATCCCTGCATTCCCATCTTGACAAATTTCGTATTCGCACCCAGCACACGAACCCTACAGACCTTCTCCTGGAGGTCCTTTCTGAAGGATTGTTTCCCTCCCCTTTACCCACTCGAGTGTCTCCTCAGAGCCCTCGTTACAGAGATGCTCCTGCACATTTGACCTGACCCCTTCCCATTGTGGACAAAGGTTCCCATTTTGTAGGTCCCAGTTTGAGCCTGGCTCCGTGCTCACCTCCTCGTGGTTCTTCTTCAGATAAGCCAGCTCCTCCTTCAGGTTCTCGATCTGCATCTCCAGGTCGGCTCTGGCCAGGGTCAGCTCGTCCAGGACCCTGCGCAGGCCGTTGATGTCGGCCTCCACGCTCATGCGAAGAGCCTGCTCCGTCTCAAACCTGGACACACACACACACAGATTTGCACCACGGAGCCCAGCTGATACAGGTCTTTTCTTGTTATTTTCTTCCCCACTTTGGCATTTTTCTGCCCGAGCATCATTTGTTAAATGTGCATGCAGAGCTCCCCACGAGGTGGGAATGCCCAGGCAGTGCTGTCTCCAGGAGATGAGCACTTCCCAAACATCACCCTTCCCTTGAGCAGTGACCTGGTGGGGCAACTTCACTTGCAGAAAGCAAAGCAAAGCCTTGAACTCCCTGGCTTTTCCCTCCCTTCTCCAGGGAACTCTTGAAGGTGTTGGACTCACTTGGTTCTGAAGTCGTCGGCCGCCAGCCGGGCATTGTCGATCTGCAACACGATGTTGGCATTTTCCACCGTTGCAGAAAGAATCTGGAAGGGGGGAGATAAAGTGAAAGAGTGAAAAAGTAGTTCCAAAAACCCAGTATGCTGCTGCCTGAGCTCCCGTTCGGAAGAAGGACTGGAGCAGCATCGGACCTCCTGGGCTGGGCTTCCACATGGACCGATTCGGGCACACACACATGGCACAGGCTGCTGTCCCTGCTGGGGTGGCACCTCCCGTGGCTCCCACCAGGCTCAGAGTCCTGGCAGTGCCCTGGCATTTGTCTGGCAACTCCAAACAGCCCGGCTGGGATGGAAAAAAGGGCTGAGGAAGGAGTGCCCTGTGCCTGAAGTATTTTGCTTTCGTAATTACACCTGAGGTGCAAAAATTTGCTCTGGGATTTTGAAAATGATTGGCCGTTTAACGAGCAGTAATTTCTGTAGCCACGAGCCAATGAAAAGCTCTCACTGGTGCTTCAGGGGATATCCAAGCAATAATCCTGGAATATTGGTGTGGTAATTTCCCAGCTGTGGCGTGGGAGGGAAGGGAAGGGTCTGTCTCCCTCTGGGTCCCGAGCAGGGGGTTTCTGTGAGACCCAGCACTTCATTGCACAGATCTGGAGACAGCTTCTGCTCCAGGCCAGAGCACACCTCCCAAGCTGGGATTTGAAAAGAAGCTTTGGGTATCAAGGCAAGAGCCCCTCACCCCAAAGAGAAGGGTTAAAGAACTGAAGAATTTGAGGTATGTGATCTCCCCCAGGGGCTGACTCCAGCCTGTCGGCAGCTGCTCCATCTCCCTGGAATCTGCTCTCACAGACCAGGTCCTGTCATCACCCACCCACACCTTGTGCCCTCCGGGGGAGAAGGATGCTGTCACCCGCTGTCACAGGCGTGGGCAGTGGGGAAGGACCAGGCAATCAGCTCCTGATGAGTAATGCGGGCACAGGGAGGACAATGAGGCCAAGGAGAAGAGGAAGAACAGATTTTGGTGCTTTTGTTCAAGAACCTTTGCCTAAAATCAGCTGGGGAGTGGCTAAGAGTAATGAAACCAGCTCGGCCATGATTTCCTCTACTGCGTTTAGAGCAGGGCATACACCTGACCTCAGCACCACAACCCAGCCTGCTCTGATGCCTGGACATTCATCTGTGTCGGTGGTTGCACCTCCCAAAGAAGAAGTGTCCCACAGGGCACTCTCTTGCTTTTATAACCCCTGCCTTGAGCCTGCTATCAGGCTAGAGGAGGTCTGATTTGTAGTATATTTCTGAGAAAGACTTAGCATCTGCATTTGCATATCAGTCGGTAGTGAACAGTGCCAAAGAGATAACGTGTCCCTGCCTGCAGGGACCTGGCAGAGGGAGCACATTCCTGGGTCATGGGTAGGATGGAGGACGGGCAGGGAACGCCGGGGGTGGCAGCACCTGCAGCACCAGGGAACTGAACCCGTGTCTGCTGGGGCCTGACCCCCCCTTCCCTGCCCAGGAACAGTCCTTGAACACCCATCTCTGTGCCCTGTGGAGCACATCACCAAGAGACTGCTGTTCATAAATTACTACTTGTATTTCCAACCATTGTGTTTTCCCATCTCAGACCAATTACCTATCGTTCGTTAATACTCTTCAGCTTTTAGGAGCAGCACAAGCTTTTTAAAAAGGACTTTAATGGAGGTGTCTGGGTGATCCCAGCATCCTACCTTGTTCCTGAGCTCCTCGATGGTCCTGTAGTAGGGGCTGTAGTCACGCTCTGGCCCAGGTCCCTGCTTCTTGTACCATTCCCTGATCTTCACCTCCAGGTCGGTGTTGGCCTCCTCCAGGGCACGCACTTTGTCCAGGTAGGCAGCCAGGCGGTCGTTGAGGTTCTGCATCGTCTCCTTTTCTCCAGCCAGGAAGACACCATCGCCCCCTCCAAAGCAGGCTCCAAAGTTACCCCCAAAGCCAGCCCCATAGCTAGCCCCATAGCTAGCCCCATAGCTGCCCCCAAAGCCCCCTCCTACGCTGCTGCAGTAGTTGCCCCCGTAGCCACTTCCGAGCCCCGAGACGACGCGGGAGGAGACAGAGTAGCTGCCAGAGCCCCCGTGGACGCTGGGGGCCCTGTAGCCCGCTCCCCCAAGGCGCACGGAGGAGAGCCTGCTGGAGCCCCCCCCCAGGCTGCCAAAGCCCTTGAGGGAGGTGGAGGAGGAGAATTGCCGGACAGTGGTGCTCATGGCGAGGGCTGGCGGAGGCTGGAGGGCTGAGAGACAACGGGCTCGGCAGCGCAGACAGCGAGTGCTGCCTTCCCCCCGCCCCGCAGCCCTTTATAGCCCGGGCAGGAGGCGTTGCCAGTGCTGCTTTTTTTTTTCCCCCCCTGTTGCATTCCCGATGATTTTCATCACCCCTCAAATCTGAGCCAACTTCCAGAATCGTCATTTTTGCCTTTGTTCCTGTTCGCGCTTTTTGTCATATTCCACAAGAAAGTTTTTTATCTCACAAAGGGCGTCGTTGTGCTTCTTCCGTTTCCAAGTAAATAGTCAGGTGTGATTCAAAGTAGGAGGCTCCTTGCTCAGGGCTACGTTTTAATGCTGCTTTGTACTGTTAGCTCGGAAAGGGCACTGTTCAGGGAGCGTTTCGATGGAGTAAATCACCATCTCTTTGGTTGTGTCTCTTTGTCCCGGCCACCACATTTCGGCTGCACACACCTGCAGGGACAAGAACCCTCTTGTGAAGCCCTGGGTGTGCATCCACAGCCCCGGGAGTGCGATGGTGCTCCAAGGAACTTGGCTACCAATCCTGGAAATACGAGTCCTCTCTTTTATCCAGAGAGAGAGGGATGGTCTGTAATGAAAAAGCAATGAAAAGGGAGTTCGTGCTTCAGGGCTCGTTTAATTCTTCACTTCGCTTCCGAGACCACCCAAGAGGGGAGGAACGTGGAAAGGCAACAAGCACGGGGTGGTTTGTGGTGTTCTCTGTGAACCAGAGCCTCGCAAACCAGTCAGAAAGGGCAGGGTGTAACTGGAGAATTAGGAGATGCTCCAGGAAAAGATGTGGAACAGCATAAAGTAGCTGAAGGATGTAAGGAAAAAAGCTCCTGGTCTCTAGAAGAACAAGAGCACAAAGGTGAAAGTAACATATTTTAGCAGCCAATGCTAATGATGTTTTGTGTGATGAACATCTCAATCCGTTGTGACCAGGGAGGACAACTTCAGTGAGAGTTTGGAGCTTACAGCTCCTGTGGACACAGAGCTTGGGCGGAGGTAGAGGCTGCCTCCGAGGAGCGGGGAGGCTCAAGCCCTGAGCTCAACGGGCACGGTCGAGCTCCGTTGCTGGGTCTCTGAGCTGACCTGCGTCACGGGCAGAAACCACAGATCCGAGTGTCACCCGCCAGTAATGCAGGGCGTGGAGGAGGAGATATTTCTCATGCGTGTGCTTGGTGAATCGTTTGCCTTCGCAGACAGGCCCCAACAACCCCTTCCCAACAGCCAAGTTCCTCCTCAGATCATTTGCCAAAGGAGGGGGGGGAAAGAGTATGGAAATAAGCAACAAGGGCAGATTTCTAAGTGGCTTTAAAGGGCCTGGCTCCCTCCCCTCTATCTGCAGAGAGCTGGAAGCGATGGAGGAGCGGGATGTGTCCTTGGAATATCCGAGCTGGCGGCTGCGGAGCGGCACAGCTCGCACACAGCTTGGAGAGATGGAGAAATGGAGCCTCCATGACATTTGCTGTGGCCGGAGGAGGGTTCTGTCTCTTGGCAGCAGCATCTTTTTGTCGTGTGAGGGTCAGGATTTGGGGCATGGGGCCATCTGTTCCCCATCCCCAGGTGGGGGTGGTGGAGGCGCAGCGGCGCGGGGGCGGCCGGGACGTGCCGCTCCAAGGAATGTGCTTTCTCCCCATCTCCATTCCCTCACCTTCACCCGGGTGACACGGACGGGCAGGACTCGGGGGCTGTCCCCACTGAGGGTGGCAGTGGCACAGGGGAAGGGGACTGTCAGTGACAAAACCAGTGCAGAGCCCCCCCCCCCCAATTCCAAACCCCCAGCCTCAGCTGAGCAAAGCCCTTCGGACCCGTCGGGACCCGCTGTAGGATGAGTTCCTGTCCCGGCGTCACACGGGACATATTCTTCCTTTGCATGAAATTGCCTTTTCTTTCATCTTCTGTTTCCTATTTAACCGCCGTATCATAAAAATACACATTGCTCAGAAGATCTATGACATTTTGATAATACCACAAGGCAGCAATTAAAATCCTTCAGTGTTAATTAAGACTTAAAACAACGTATTAAAAAGTCGAAGGTGTTATTTCCATGGCCTCCCATTGAACACAACCACAAAGGGCTGCATATTGTTTGGATTGCGCTCCCTTTAGAATAAAAGGCTGACTACTAATAAATCAGATTCTGCTTATTTCATACACACAGTGAGCCTATTTTTTATACATTTCACAATCAGAATGGGGCATCGTAGTAATTTTGTGGTGGCACATTGGTGTTTAAACATGCAGTTCTGCCTTACTTCAGGAGGAAAAGGGAGATCTGGCTCCAAACCCAAGTATCAGCAGCCCCGGCAGGTGAAAACACTGGAACAAAACCACTTCTGTGTTTGTTTTAGGGCTATTATAAAGTCTGGGATCAGATCAGGTGTCAGGTTATCACAGGAAAGTCCTCCAAAACGTGCTGAAAAGCCACACCTTTGTGTGTCTTTCTAAAATGGTCTCTAACGTTAGGTTAACTCGGCGTAGTCTGAGAAGTCGAACCATCTTTCTGGAATTAAACTCCACTTTCTGAAACCTGCCTGGAGCTGCCGCTGCCCGTCTGCATCGGCCGCCGCCGGCAGCTCCCTCCGCGGCGGGTTCCAGGCGGGTCAGCGCTGATTGTTAATGCCCAGGGCAGGAGGGAATCCACCTTCTGTTTTCCACACCTCCCTCACAATTCGCAGGAACGGGAGTAATTAACATCAGGGGATTTTGTTAACAAAGTATTATTTGTCGTTTCTGTAGCAACGCGGGTGTGCCCAGACTCTTCCAGGAGAAACGGATAAAGCCGGGATGAATTCCAGCCGGGCACCTTCGGCATCCCCACGCTGGGTGTCACAGGGGGGGCAACGGGGGGCAGTGACCCCCCTGGGGGGCTCCGAGGAGCTGCCGGAGGGAGTGACAGTCCCTGCAGCACCCGTGGGGAGAGCTGGGGTTCCCTGCGAAGTGACCTGGAAGCCCCAGGAGTTACCTGCGGGCTGTGTGGGTCCCTACCCCTCCCAGGCACCTGAGCTGGGGCTGCTCAGCACCCAGGGCAGGGAGCACCCCGGGGACACCCCTCTGGAGAGGGGGGGCTGCAGAGGTGCCGGGGCTGGAGGTGTCCCGGGTCAGGACGTGCCCTGTTGTTTGGGGGTGGCCCCTCCACGATGCGAGACCCACTCTCCCGACCACAGCGCTCCTTTACGGGCTTCTGTTTGTGCATCCTGTGGTGGAACCCCCCCGGGTGGAAGTGAGATCACTGTTCATGAGCAGCAAACTCCAAAACCAAACCCTGTCTCCCACAGGCAGAGCGTGAGCTGCTCGCCCTGGGGTGCTGCGCAGGGCACGGGGGCAAGGGATGCCCTGCCTGGGCCACGGGGGATCAGCTCTGCAGGACTCGGGGTACAGCCCTGGCAGAGCCATAGCACGGGGGCTCCAGAGCCTGCATCCCTGCCCCTGCTGCCTGTGGGGATCCTTTCAACATTTTGAAAAAAAAGCCATAAGCTGCCTGTGGGGATCCTTTCAACATTTTGAACAAAACGCCATAAATTCTCCCTTATCTCCCCATAAAATCCAATCTTAAAACCCCGTGGCCGGCTCTATCTTTACACACGCTCGGTCGCACTCCTCTGAATCATCACATTGATTCAGAAGCCGGATTTACCAAGCAGCAAGTGTGGCAGGATCCAGCCAAGAATGTGTCTGAACTGGCTTTCCAGGAACGGCTGGCCCCGCTCGGGGAAGTGCTGCGTCAGGAGCAGCCACCGACGGGCAGCGGCGCCGGGAACCGCTCGCACCGCGTTGGGTCCTTCTGCTGGGGCAGCCCGTGCCCACCCCTGACCACCTGCCCCTGCAGCAGCACCGTCGGAAGCGAGAATTAAACAAAACTGAGGTTGTGTTTCTGGGGGGGCCTCAGCGGGTGTCTCCCTGCCACATCTGCCCCTTAATTTCGTTTTACCACCAAGCCCGTTACCCCCGCACGGCGGCCGCAGGGGCAGAGCGGGGAAGGGGATCCTGTGCATCGTCCTGGCTGTGTGACCTGGGGTTTGTTCATAGAATCATAGAATCATAGAATCATAGAATCATTGAGGTTGGAAGAGACCCTTGGGATCATGGAGTCCAACCATCTCCCCTACTCTACATAGTCCTCCCCTACACCATGTCCCTCAGTACCCCATCTAAACATCCCTTAAACACATCCAGAGATGGTGACTCAACCACCTCCCTGGGCAGCCTGTTCCAATGCCCAAAATGTTCACTTTCTTGCTCGGGCTCCCCGAGTGTGAAGCTTCAGCTCTGCACCTTGCAGCGGGGGAAGCAGCACTTTGCCCTGACCTGAAAGTCCCAGTACCAAATCTGGGATGAAATACAAAGATTCTCCCAAGTTTCACCTCCCATGACCGTGTAATCAGTTCCCTCCTAGACCTCCACCCACCTCAGCGGTGCTATGACATGTAGGTGTTCTGCCCACCATCAGGGTACCAAAGGTGGACAATATTTCCCCTTCCAGAGAGGAGCTTTGTCCTGCACAGCCCAGCTCTCCAGAGCACCCAGACCAGACCCCGCTTTGCAAAAGGATGAAGAAAAGCTTTATTTGATTTCTGAGCGCGCCCTGGGGGGAAGGGGGGGGAGGAACAGGGGGTGTGATAACGAGGGAAGATGCAGTTGGTGATCTCCAAAGCCACGGCGCGGAAGCTGGGGTGGGTTTTTGCTTTGCTTCACCAGGTTTGTGGCGAAGGGAGCGGCGGCCTCAGCGGGCAGCCGGGGTGATCTGCTCCCGGGAGGAAATCACCTTCCCGTCCTGGACTTCCTCAAAGATTGTGCGGATTTGGCGGGTGGTTACAGGTGCTGCAATGGAGAAAGAAGGAGCCGTTATTTACAGGGAAAGGAGAAGAAAGTGTCTGAAAGATTTTCATGGGTAGATTTGTTACCACCACCAACTGCCTCAGGAACCCCCTGTAGCCACCACATTCCTACCCCTAAATACTTCATTATATAGTTTCAGTCTGCGCAGATCATCTACTGAGACATGTTCTCGTATAATGTGAGAGTGGTTTATGTCAATTCACATTTTGAAAACATAATAAAATAGGAATTTTGGTAAATTAGTAAAAAGAGTCTAAGCTAAGAAGGTGGCCAAGGACATGTCAGAGCTCTGTATGATTGCTGCTTCAGCAGGACATTTTCTTACCTTCCTTAGGCTGCGAGATGTAGTGGGAAGACATGCTACGGGAGGAGAAAAGAGAAAGAACGGTCAGAAACGGGAAAAAAGTGAGTAGTCTCTATGACAAAATCATTACTTAAAAACCTGCTGTTTCTTCTTGCACCAGTATGTGACCATAATGATTTCTGGAACCTGTCTAGTGTCAAAGTAGAAAGGGAGAAAATGCTCGGGCTGTGTGTGCGCCGGGGGTTTGGGGATACAGGCAGCGCACACCCCAGCTGCTCGGAGCACAGTGGTACCCACTCCTTCCCAGGATCACACGGACACCCAAGGGGTGGAAGGTGCATCCCAGGGGTGCTGCAGTGCTGTGGCCACCACTGGGTGGTTCTGGACTAGTAGGACCAAAAAAGGGAGACCCTTTTGCGTGCCCCGGGTCAGGAAACGGGCTCAGAGCATCCTCCAAGGAACCCAGGTTGTTAATTTTTTTTTCCTTCCCTACTGCCCATCTCCTCCCAAGGCCCCCTCCCGGGCAAAGCCCCTCTACGTACTGGGCGTCCTCGCCCTCCAGCAGCCGGCGGTACGTGGAGATCTCCTGCTCCAGGCGGCACTTGACGTCCAGGAGGACCCTGTACTCGTGGTTCTGGCGCTCCATGTCGCAGCGCAGCTCGGCCAGCTGCTCCTCCACGCTGGTGATCAGCCCCTGCAGCTGGGCCAGCTGGGTGCCGTAGCGGGCTTCCGTGTCGGCCAAGGAGCCCTCCAAGGCTGCTTTCTGTGGGCAGAGGAGAGGGGTGGCTTCAGGGGGGGCTTCAGGGGGAGACGGGGACACCCTCAGCCCCCACCCGGCGGGGAGCCGGCCCCTCGTACCGTGCTGAGCTGGGACTGCAGGTCGATCTCCAGGCTCTGGATGGTGCGCCGTAGCTCCGTGATCTCCGACTTGCCGCTCTGAAGCTGCTCCGTGTTGATGGCCACCTCCCGGTTCAGCTCTTCCGTCTGCCAGGAGCCAAAACCCGTGTCAGATGCCATCTCATTCCCAGGAGGCCCAGCTGGGGGTCCCACACACCCCATGGGGCTGCCAGCCATGGACTCACCTTGCTGAAGAACCACTGCTCAGCGTCCCGGCGGTTCTTCTCCGCCAGGCTCTCGTACTGCTCCCTCATCTCTGCCAGGATCTTGGTGAGGTCGATGCCAGGAGCCGCGTCCATCTCCACGCTGATCTCTCCACCCACCTGCCCGCGCAGGGCGTTCATTTCCTGACACAAAGGAGAAACACGTCTCCATGCATCCAACAATCCGCTTACCGGGATGTTCCTCTCAAGACAGATCCTTCAGGAAAGGCAGCATCCTTCAGCAGGTACTACTGAGACACAGCAACAGGGAGCAAACTGGGGCCTTTTTTCCACAGCCACAATTAAAATAATCTACATTCTTAAGAAATCTCCATTTGAGTTAATTCTTCAGAGAATAAACCAGAGCCTGTAGTTGGCTTCATTTCTCAGGAGATAGACCTTCCAGGGCTGAGGCTGCTGGGATCGTTAATAAATCTCTAATAGCTACAGTGGAAAATACTGGAATAAAAATGGTGAATGGGTTTTATACAGGCTCCGGAAAGGATGCGCCGTTATCCAGAATGGATGGTCTCTCCTTCCTTACCAGCACTTCTCATCTTCCCTCCCACCGGTTCAAAACTCAGCATAGTCTAAAAGGTTGGACCAAACCTCTTATTTGTGGTCCCAGGTTGGATTTTTTTGAACCTCTCACCTCCTCGTGGTTCTTCTTCAGATAAGCCAGCTCCTCCTTCAGGTTCTCGATCTGCATCTCCAGGTCTGCTCTGGCCAGGGTCAGCTCGTCCAGGACCCTGCGCAGGCCGTTGATGTCGGCCTCCACGCTCATGCGAAGAGCCTGCTCCGTCTCGAACCTGGGGACATAACAATGGTCACAAAAGTGACCCAGGATCTTGTCCAGCCGGGGACAGAGCCCCTCGGTGCTGCTGCTGACATTGGTCAATACTTCATGACCCCCATGGTGCACGGGCGACCTTCTGAAGGCCAATGCTAGTGAACGCAGGGGAACAACCGATAAAACAGCGTCCCTCTGAGTCTGTAACATCTCCTTGCTCCTGAACCCTGAGCCTTGTCACTGGGGCTGGGCTTTGCTGGGCTACACACAGGAGTTAAATGTGCAGCAGAGGCACAGAGAGAGTTCCCTGCACAGGAGAGGTCATTCCATGGAGGAACAAGCAATGGGATAAGCCAGTGAATGCCCATAGATTTGGATAACTCACGGCTTTGGAAATTATACCTTCATTTTGAAGGTTTTGTTTCCACGTTGCCCTTTTTGCGGGGTTTGGATGGGACTTTTTCTCCATTTCACCAAACACCTCTGCAGGCTTTGTTCCATTTTTCCAGGAAATGTGACTTACTTGGTCCTGAAGTCATCGGCTGTCAGCCTGGCGTTGTCGATCTGCAGGAGGAGGTTAGCGTTGTCCACTGTGGCCACCAGGACCTGGAGGGAGGAGGACAAAGAAAAAGCACTAAATGAGTGTCAGGATCTCCTCCTGGCTCACCAAGGGATCTCCTCCTGGCTCACCAAGGGGTGGGAGCACAAGTGAGACTGGGACAGGGATGGTTTTGGGGATGTTTGGGGTTTTCCTTAGCAGAGGTGTGTATGGAAGCAGGACAAGGAAGACACAGCTGAGCCTGACTGCAGGATCAGGGCGATTACCCTGTGACCTCACTTTCCAAAAATCCTTCTGTAAGTGTTTCAAAAGGCAGCGTGAAGCCATGTAAGGTGTGTGACGTGATGACAGCATTTGTTTCCACGCTTCGGGGCATGCCCTGATTGTGCAAGGGTCAAGCAGGGATCCTCTGCTCCCCATACACAGCACCTGTGGCTCTTCTGGCAGGACAGACGGACCGGGGGGGGCTGTGCCTGGCAAACCTTGTGCCCACTTGATCCAGGATGGATTTAATTTGCTGATGGCAGAAATGGAGCAAAACGCAGTGAGCAGGTGCCTACAGCTTCTGATTTTTATGTTACAAAACCAGGAGCAAATAATAACCCATAGTGGGAGAAGGTTCAGGCCAGAGCTTGGGAGGACAAAGTCATGGGGCTGAGGAGAGGGAGGGAAAGTGGGTTCCATCCACCATCTACCAGCTCTCCTGCAGCTCCAGCCGTGCACTGCCTTCCCCCATGTCTACTGGGGGCAATTCACACGTGAGAAGTAACAGAGAAGAACAAAGTCAAAGTTTTGGAGTATTTCCTCCAATATGGGAGGTGGGATTCAAATCAGAACTGAGAGACATCCCCCCCGAGCTGCCTGGGTCGGGGGGGTTGCAGCAAACCTGGCACTGGGGCAGGGACTGCCAACAGGAGGAGAAAAACTCATTATTGGTCAGTTCCATCTTTTCTCTTTAGCATCTACATCTCATCGATACCAGGAGCTGAAACAATTTTGCAAAGACTTTGTCTGAATGTTTACAAAGATGACATGGATGTTTCCCAGCTGGCGCACACCCACAGCTTTCCCTGCACGTTCATCTTTAACTCTCAGAAACCTGCATTATCACCGCAGACTCCTCTCTTACTTTTCATTCTGCACTATGTCCTTTACACCTGCTTCTTCCAGTGAAAACTGCCATTAGTTCCCTCCAGGAGGATGTAATCAAAAGCTGACACTGAGAAATCTCAGAGTTTCCAGCTCTGTTTGTGTGTCTGAGATGCTCTTTTACCGCATCATTAGTGCTCCCTAATTACAGAGGCAGCGGCCAGTGTTTCTGCTTCCTCTGACATCCCCCAGTGTTAATCCCAGCATCCTACCTTGTTCCTGAGCTCCTCGATGGTCCTGTAGTAGTGGCTGTAGTCACGCTCTGGCCCAGGTCCCTGCTTCTTGTACCATTCCCTGATCTTCACCTCCAGGTCGGTGTTGGCCTCCTCCAGGGCACGCACTTTGTCCAGGTAGGCAGCCAGGCGGTCGTTGAGGTTCTGCATCGTCTCCTTTTCTCCAGCCAGGAAGACACCATCGCCCCCTCCAAAGCAGGCTCCAAAGTTACCCCCAAAGCCAGCCCCATAGCTAGCCCCATAGCTAGCCCCATAGCTGCTCCCAAAGCCCCCTCCTACGCTGCTGCAGTAGTTGCCCCCGTAGCCACTTCCGAGCCCCGAGACGACGCGGGAGGAGACAGAGTAGCTGCCAGAGCCCCCGTGGACGCTGGGGGCCCTGTAGCCCGCTCCCCCAAGACGCACGGAGGAGAGCCTGCTGGAGCCCCCCCCCAGGCTGCCAAAGCCCTTGAGGGAGGTGGAGGAGGAGAATTGCCGGACAGTGGTGCTCATGGCGAGGGCTGGCGGAGGCTGGAGGGCTGAGAGACAACGGGCTCGGCAGCGCAGACAGCGAGTGCTGCCTTCCCCCCGCCCCGCAGCCCTTTATAGCCCGGGCAGGAGGCGTTGCCGGTGAGTTTTTCGTCACCCCTGGAACAGCCCGAGCCAAATTCCAGAATCATCATTTTTCCTCTCCCCGATTTCATGTCTTTTGTCACATCCCCCTGGGAGCACTGGGGCGCACGCGGGATCTCCTCCTTCCGCCGCGGTTCCCAGCACCCGCCGTGATTCAGAGCCCGGCTCCTCGCTCAGGGCTACGTTTTACCCTCCTGCTGCTGCTGCTGCACCTGAGAGCGGAGGTTCTCGCCCCAGCTCCACCCGTGGAGGAGCACAAGTGAGTCCTCTGTCCTACGCCAACTCCCCCACAAGTGTCTCACATCGTTAAAAACCCGCACATCCATTGATTTGCACTTTTTAAGGAGTCCAAAGCCAGAAAAAGCTGCTGATTTTTAAAGCGCTCTGCACATCCATAATCTTTATATGGGCCGACCCAAAGCCAAATGGAAACTTTCCTGTCAGAACCTCTATCCCAGGACAAGCACAGACCTGGCCGTATTTGTGTACTGATACCATATTTGGCAGAAATCTTGTAGCTCAAAAGAGAAGAAACTCCCGTAATTTCTGCTTACGTACTGCTTTGCAGAGGCTGGAAAGCCCCGACAGCGGTGGGGTTTCAGTTGGTTTAAAAAGGGAGTGCCTGATGGTCCTGGCTTTGCTGCATCCCCTTTGACAGACTCCCCAGCAGCAGTCTAAAAGTCTGCTAAAACCTTCTGAAAGCTTTGCAGAAGCTAAAAACTTCTGTGCCACAATTCCTCCTGCCTCATTGCTGAGATGGGTTTTAATGCTTAAGTGGTGTAAAGCAGAGAAAGAGGATTTGAAGCTGCATCAGAGCCCCAGCACCAGGACACCTTTTGTGCAATTCCTGATGGGAAGAGTGTGATCAGCTCGGATCTGTGCCCACAGAAAGGCTTTTTCCTACACATTTGCAGCTGGGAGGCCCAGCAGCACCTGTATCCAAAGCAGTGGTGGGCAAAGTGCAAGCTGTGCAGCGAGGGGGGGAGATCCCCACCTGGGGAGCAGGGGGTGTCGGGGGACCAGGCAGAGGAGATGCAGAGATGAACAAAGCAGCCGCCCCGACGGGCACACCTGCACCGGGCTATTAAGGGATTGAGCTGAGCGATTATAGTCATGCAGCTGGACAGGTATTGGCCTGAAAAAAAAGCAGCCAAGAAGCAGGAAGGGAGACACTGCACTGTTTTATTCTTTGTTAGGAAAAAAAAAAAAAAAGAAAGACAAAATCCTTTTACTGATGTGGCGCCAGCTCTTGCAGTTTACAGTGGAAAATCGCACACCCAACCTGCTGGCCTGCCTGGCTCCAGCGATGTCATCCTCGGATAAGAGGAGTTATTTTTTTCTGTGAGCAGAGGTGCCTGTGAGGTAGTGAAAGAGAGTTATAGGGATTAGGAGCCCTTTTGTGTTTTCTCTCCTGTGGTGATCTCCTTCCTTCCCAGGGCCCCTCTGGCTGTTTTCACATTCTAATGCACTTAACTGATTTTGGAGTTACTAAGATGTTCCCAGAGCCTCACCCTCAGTAATTCATAGTGCTTCCTTTCTTTCATCTGTTCCCTGAAGGACACAATAACAACAACGCTTCATCTGCATCGCTGTTAGATCTCGAGAACTTAATAGGGAGTCACGTTCTGGTTCCTCAGCAGCTCCAGGAGAGGTGGTGTGATGTTGCTGGGCGGCCACCAAGGAAACCAGAAACAGACTTGGTGGAGGGCTCCAGTCTCTGGGCAGCGGCGCCTCAGGACTGATTGGCTTCACGTTTGGGTTTTTGACTCCCCAAGCTGTGAAATCTGGGGGTTTGGGATGCATGTGTCCCTCGGAGAGTTGGGAGCAATCCCTGCTGCTGGCAGATGGCAGAGCGTGCAGATGGTGGTGCTCAGCTGGCAGCCAACTCCTGGGGTAACCTGGCAGGGTGAGGATCGGCGTTCCTGGCCCGTTTCCCTCCGTGGTGGGGGGTACAGGGTTACCCAACAGCCGCCCCGGGGGAGCCGTGCTCAGGTGCCCTTCCCTGGCCACCCTTGCTCTGAGATCTTCCAGATGCGCTCGCTTTGCTCAGGGTGGCTCTACCAAACACCCTCCTGCTCCAGGCAGCTCCCGTGTTGGCCACGAGCCCCTCACGTGGGCCAAAGGCTGCCCTGTGAGTTCTGTCCCCCCTGCTCAGGTCACCCCCACGTTTTAGGCCAAGTCCTGACTCAGCCTGAAGGTGACAACTGCCCTAAACGGAGGCAAAGCTCTGCCACAGCCCCACGGGCAGGAACCACCTGGGCTGAGGGCTCTTCTTTCTCTGTTATCATGACCTCAGCCCATGTTTAAGCTCTTTATTACAGCTGGCACAGGAGCCTCAGATGAGAGCTGGAGATTGTCCTGCAATATCTGCTTTCTCTGGCCTTTTCTGATGGATGTTCTTGGCCCTCAACTGCTGCCCAACCTCTGGCTGGGCTCCTGGAGAGCAATCCCCAGACTGGTCCCACTCTGATGAGAGAAACCCTTCACACACAATCCTTGCTCTGGCTCTGTCGAGAGGGCACAATTATACAGAGGAGCAGGCACCACTTCAGCTATTTCATGTTACCAGAAGAATTCAGTCTCCCAGGCTCTCCTACAACACTCACCCACAATGAATTCCCTTGAGATAAAAAAAAAAAAAACCAACACAAAACCCAAACACATCATAAAGCTCAGGCGATGGTATCGGAGTCTGTTCCAGCACGAAGCACGCCGGAGATGCTATCTCACCCTCGGTTGTGCTGCAGGGGGGAAAAAATGAACCAAACTCCCGTGTTTGCAAAGGGAGGGAGGTGGGAGTGGACGAGCAGCCCTGGTGTAACCCGGCGGTGAGGGCTGGACTGAAAGGGCTGGGGTCAGAGCCTTGCATTTGCCTCAAACAATATGACTTAATTGGGCTTTTAATGCCGTGAATACGAGCTAATTAGGAGTCGTGGTTGGGTTTTCCCTGTGGGCCAGCTTCTCCTGAGTGCCTTCCCAGCAATTCCCAGCTCAGCAGGAACCAGCCGAAGGATGCGGCCCTGGGAAAGGTGGCTGCTGCCTGTAAGGAACAGGCACGGGCTCTACCCTGGCTGACAGGTTTGGTCTGTAGGTTTGAACAACACCAAAATGGGTAACAAATATCTCAAGGTGTAGAGTGAAACGCGCTGTCTGTGTTTCTATCTCGGGTGCTAATTCTTTATCACCTGCTGGGACGTGTCCTGACAGCCCCCCCCACATTATCTGGAAAAAAGGCGATTCCAGATCTGTTACCATGAAAGGAAACTCGGCTCCTGTGTTGTGTGTGTGCAATGGAAACTCCCTGTGGGCAGGCCCAGGGCAATGAGCCATCAGTCCATGGGCCGAGCCAAGGCTGCCCGAAATGCAGGGCAATGGGGGATGCTCGCCCCGCTTACCCCCTGCTGCCTGCGGGATGGAGGGGACACAGGAGGGGACACAGGAGGGGACACAGAGGGGGACACAGGCAGCACAGCCTGGTCCCCTTTAGCTGTAGAAGGGAAGGATGCAACCATGGAGCTAGCGGGGTGAAGGACTGAGTGGAGGGAAGACAAGGGGAACGACTCCATCCTGGCCCTTCTCCGGGCTCCGGTGGTGAAGCCACCGCTCGCTCTGCCCGGGGGGGGACCCTGGGGGCAGCCTCCATCAGCAGCCCCGTGTCGGGGCCACGCTGGGCTCTCCACAGGCCTTTTTCTCCTCTCGGTGAGCGTGGGAGAGGGTGATGCTCCTCCACGTTGGCCCATGCCCCGAGCTGTTTGCAGAACATCAGGAGAGGTCCTGGCCCTGTGTCGCTTGGTGCTTCACAAGGCACCTCCAGCGGTGAGCCCCTCGCTGGAGCGCAGCCCCGTGCCCCGGCCTGACCTGCTCTGCCCGTTTTGGCACAGCCCGTGCCCAGGAGATCCCCACGGGAGCAATTCCCAGTGAATCAGCCCCAGTTCACACGCTGCGTGGCTCGGTGGGGGGAGCAGCTCAGCCACGGGGCTGGGCAGCACCGAGCGATGCGGTTCCTTCTGCTTTGCATCGGGGACCACAGACCTGCCTGGCACTGGACGATCTTTCAGCAGGTGGTTCGAGCTCTTCCCCCTGGGTTCAAGCTCATCCTCGCAGCCACCCAAGTGCCGTGATGGCCCATCCTGCTGTCAGCTCACCCAACTGAAGGCTGAGCACGGCTTTTCTGCAGGTGTGTTTTAGCAATAACAGAGACTGAATTGCTTCTGGTCGCAGCCGGTCTCCAAGGTCTGGCTGGGCCCTTCTGCCCCCACTTGGGGATGAGGAACCCCTTCCAGCGACCTCAGTGCTGTTCCAGTTCAGCTCCCTCTTACCCTGGTGACATCCTGGGCTTATACACTGCGGGCTCAGGGCAGTACTGAGAGGCAGAGCCATGGACCAGAGGTGGGGATCCTCTCATCCAGAGCCACCCCACAGCAAGCGCAGGACCAGGGCTCTCCCATGAACCTCTTTGAGCTGCAGGGTCAGGGGCACGACCAGAGAGTCGTTTCAACTGGCCAAGGGAAGACGGACAGACAACAAATCAGCACCTATTTCACTCTAGACAGAGTGAGCACCAGAGCAGAACCAATCTCCCGAGCCATCACGAATTGCTTTAGCTCCATCTCCACCGCAACCTCCAACCTTTGGAGTTTTCCCACGTTATTTTTTTTGCAGTGTCTTGTCTCCCAGAGAGCAGGCAGCTCCCGCCTTTCCTCATGTCTCACGCTGCTGGTGTGGAAATAGGCTCACACCCTGTCTGCTCATCCCTCTCCCTCACAGAGCAGGCGGGCGGTGGCGGCCCTGCTTTCCCATGCTGACTGCAGGCACCCGCCCGCGGCTCCCGCTTCCATCCCGTGCCCGCACCCGCTGCACCGACGGTGACTCCAGGCCAGGTCTCCACGCTCCAACATGGGAACCCCGGCTCGGGGACACGCGTGACGCTGGCGGTGGGGTGAGGCAGATGCTCACCCGTGCTCACAGAAGGGCAGGAATGGGGTTTTCTCCCTGCCCGGGGTGCGGCCGGTTACACCAAAGGACCCCGGGGGGATGAGCC